AAAAAAAAAAAAAAAAAAAAAAAATTAGAAGTTTAAAATGATTTTTTTAAATGTGATTTTATTTTTGTTACTTTTTTCCTCAAAATAAAATGTTTTTTTCATGAGCTATACTTATTATTCATTACAGAATCAGTAGTTTCAGACAAAATGAACAAAAAGTGCTCCTAATCCATCTCATTCAGAGAAAACCTCTGTCAAAACCACAGTATCTATCCTTGCAAATCAGTCAATCTGACTTTTAAGAGATGGTTTCACTTGGATTTCTACCTACGATTCAAAAGATACAGGCTTTTGTATCAGGAGTTTCTGTTTAAGGGGCATAAAAATTTTGACTTTACTGAAATTGAAGCACATTGAAACAAAAAATTGAAAAGCCAGAAGTTTAAAATGCTCTCTTCTCTGGCCAGCACCAGGTGATTCAGATGAGGCAGGGCATGGCTGAGTTCCTTCACCCTGTATTATGGATCCCAGTGCTGGGTGGGCAGGACTGTGTGCAGGAGGAAGCATTTGCATGTGGAGATGTAGGAACCTTAAAGTTGCCATGACTGAATGAGAAGAAAATTTGTGCTTTGGACCTAAATATTTCAAAGCAGGGGGGTGATGGAGCTGAGCCATGTACTAAAGTTATAGTCTGGTCCATGTTCTTTTCCTAAATTGAGGAGTAAACTGTTACTTTAGCTTTGAGTAGAGATAAAGAAATGTTCCTGAACAAGTGTTCTTGGCAGAATAATTTTTACAGTTTAGGTTTCCTAGAGTCTCCAGGAGACTCTTCAGGCCATCTTGCCACCCGCGAGAGAGTTCCCACCACCCCCGGTCTTTTGCAGCATGGTTCTGGACCCACATTGTGGGGTCATTGTGAGGGACAATGCTGGGTGTATTTAGAGACTGAGGCTTTCTGGCTGCTGTCTAAAGCCAGTTTAAAGCCCTGCGGTGTCCTGAGAGGCAGCTAATCTGGCAGTCTCTTTTATTTATTTTTATTTTTTTATTTTTTTTGAGTTGGAGTCTCACTCTGTTGCCCAGACTAGAGTGCAGTGGCCACTCCTGGACACCACAGCCTTGACCCTTGACCTGCTGGGCTCCAGCGATCCTTCTGCCTCAGCCTTCCAAGTAGCAGGAACTACAGGCGCGTGCTACCACGCCCGGCTAATTTTTTTTTTTTTAATTTATTGTAGAAATGAGGCCTCGCCAAGTTCCCCAGGCGGGTCTTGAACCTGTGGGCTCAGGCAGTCCACTCACCTCAGCCTCCCAAAGCACGGGATTATAGGCTGAGCCACCAGCAGTCTCTTTCTTAGGCCCTGGGTTTACTACCTTTGGGTGCATACAGGAGGCCTCAGCTGTGTGTCTGAATTGCATGTAGATTGGTCTGAGACAGCTTCCTGATGCAGCCCTTTGTGGGGATACTGTGTGCAGTTGGTTACGCTGTGTACTAACCACGACTATGGTGTAGGACCCGTCTAGAGTGTCTCATGATGTGACACTTTATGACACGTAAGGCCTGCTCAGGTAATGGCCAATCACATTGAAATAGAGCAATTGTTTTGGAGGTTTTAGAAAAAGAGGATCTTCTTTTATTTTTTGAGTTGGAGTCTCACTCTGTCACCCAGACGGCGATCCTTCTGCCTCAGCCTTCCAAGTAGCCGGAATTATAGGCATGCACTACCACACCCGGCTGATTTTTTGATTTATTGTAGAGATGAGGTCTCGCCTGCCCAGGCGGGTCTCGAACCCGCGGGCTCAGGCAATCCACTCACCTCAGCCTCCCAAAGGTGCGGGATTACAGGCTGAGCCACCGAGCCCGGCCTTGTGTTTTTTTTGTTTTGTTTTGTTTTGTTTGTTTGTTTGTTTGTTTTTAAGTTGGAGTCTCACTCTGTCACCCATACTGGAGTGCAGTGGCACGCTCCTGGTCACCGCAGCCTCGACCTGCTGGGCTCCGGCGATCCTTCCGCTTCAGCCTTCCAGGTAGCTAGAACTACAGGCATGTGCTACCACGTCCAGCTAATTTTTAATTTGTAGAGACAAGGTCTTGTCAAGTTGTCTGAGCTGGTCTTGAACCTGCAGTTTCAGAATATTCACTTGCCTTGGCCTCCCAAAGGGATTACAGGCTGAGCCACCAAACTCAGCCCATTTTTTTTAAAAGTTAGTTTTCAAAATGTAATGTAGTCTAACCAAATAGTAGCAACAGTTAGCAGACACTTTGCAAAACAGGTAGGCATTCCCCTATATA